ACTTTTTCTTCGGGAATTACAATCACTTTCCTAATTTTCCCAACGAAAACTAGCATAAAAAGAAGAATTCATAACTCCATCAAAGAAACTCATAGAGAGCCGAAATTTGTTTTGATGGTAATCTTAAGAGTTCTCTATATACTCTGAAAGTTTTACAATTCTATCACTCTCTTTTTCCGAGCTATAGGACATTTCTATAAGTAAGAGCGAGGGCATGGGTGTGGGCAAAGGAAGTACTGCTGCCTACACTCACACTCATATCCTTACCTATAGAAATGTCCTATAACTCGAGAAAAGAGATTGATAGAATTGTAAAACTTTTAGAGTATATAGAGAACTCTTAAGACTACCACCTAAACAAATTTCGACTCTCTATGAGTTTCCTTGATGGAGTTATGAATTTTCTTTTTATGCTAATTTTCGCTGGGAAAATCAGGAAACTGGTCGTAACTCCTGAAGAAAAAGCCATCGACCGCTATCCTTTTAGACTTTTTTATCTACTCAAGGTCTTCTATCGAATGATATATAAATGAACGAAATCGGAGCGAAAATACCTAAAAATGTTTCCTCGTGAGCGAAAGTTGAATCTAATCGAACAGGCTTAAATAATGTTCGGACCACTTTGAACAGGACCGAACCACAAAAAAGGGCCCCATTTCGAGTCCTGATAAAAGTGAATTTTCTTTTGTTTAAATTGTTTATTGTGGTTCATTCAAACGAGCAAATTCAATAAAAAACAGTTTTTTTTTAAATATCTTTTAAGCGTATATTTGTGTTTTTATTTTGTTTTAGTAATTTACATAATAAATATACATATGCAAGTAATGATAAAAGATTTTCTTGCGTAAACAAAATGATAGAAAAAAACCTAGATATGAAACGTTGTAAAGAACTCTGAAAAATCATACATGAATTGTGTAGGATCTAATATTAAGATCATAGAAGGATTGTGAGGTAAGATTTTATCAAAAATGATCGCTTCAAGATGATCGAAAATATTGTTCAAGTCGCTGTTGAAATCATGCTCTTGAAACTGTTCTTGATTAAAAAAAAATTTTTTTATTCTTGAATTTTATTAAAATCAAATTAACAAAAAAAAGAAACCACAGTTGCATAATCAAGTGTGACATCTTTCCTATAAATTTCTTTCAAAAAAATTTTTATTATTAAATTAACATAACAAAGACAAAATCATTTCGCTTTTTTTTTATTCATCATCCCAAAACACTATCCTTATTAGTTTATAGCGCTATCTACAATGCATTGATTTGCTTTGTACCTAGCTCCAATTGTATTTCAATTACATATCAATATTATTCATCAATTTGTTAAAATGCCACAATTAGAAAAGTAAGATTTATCATGTGTAAGGGAAATTCCCCCATCTTCTAATTCGATATATTTATATTTGCATGTAAAAAATATCTAAAGAAAGAATTCGAGTAGGGAGAGAAAAAACCATTTGCAAATCATAATAAAAAAGAATTTTAGTTGAATATTTTTTAGCCAAAAATATGCATGAATGCCAATACGATCAGTAATATTCTTCTCATTTAAGAATTAATTAAATTTTATATGTTTTTTTTTCTGTTTAGAAAACCTAATATTTCTTCACCAACTGAATCAAGTGATAGTGGCATACATATTAATATGGAACCAACAATAATAGTTTGTATTAATTAGAATTAAATTATTTTCTATGAAAATTTTTCTCTTAGACTACTGATGATACGAATCTTCCATCAGGTTGGGAACGTTTTGAAGGTAAAATTGTTCATTATATATAAATTAAAATAGAAAAAACAAAGGGTACTTTTTTTTTTATTAGATGAAGAAGGTGTTTATTATTGGCATAAACGAACCGGTACAGTAACACGTGAACGTCCAGATTTAATTATCGATTCACCATCATCAACACTATCATCATCTTCATCAAATGATACATGTTTCGGATCGAATTCATTATTATATAGAAGTGAATCAAATACTTCAATTAAAGTAAACAAAAATTACAAAAAATATGTTTTTTTTTTTTTGATGATGGAAAACGATTTGTTGATACGACTTAGTAGAAGCCGAAGTTTATTAGTATAGTGTTTAACGAAGGGGAAGGGGGACATTGCCAAGTGATAAATCCTAAAAATGTTTTTATTTGAAAAATATAATTTATCATTTTTTTTTCAAATCTTTAGACATCAGATGAAACTACTCGACAACATCGTTTTCAAGTTCGTTCTCTTGGTTGGACAACGATTGATGAACAAGATTTAACAAATGAACGAAGTAGTCGTGCTGTAAATCGTTGTATTTATGAACTGGCATGTGGTATTAATGATGGTATTGGTCGTTGGGGTGAAGGAAAAGATCTTTATATGGATATTAATAATACAGATTTACTTTTAATTGATCCAACTGAAATGACAATTTTACATAAACAATCAATACCATCAATTCGAGTATGGGGTGTTGGAAGAGAAAATTCAAGGTTTTATTTTAATTTAATTTGAAGGAATAAAATTTTTGATTTATGTTTTTATTTCAGAGATTTTGCTTATGTTGCTAAAGATAAAGATCGTTCAGTACAAATTTATAAATGTCATGTTTTTCGATGTGATAATACATCAGCTCGAACAATAGCTAATACATTACGTGATATATGTCGAAATTTAATGATTGAACGTGGATTATTAAGTAAAACAACTGAAATTTTAAATGATGATTTATCTATACATAAACGGTTATTGATAAGAAAAAGAAAAATTTATTTTTAGTTTTATTTTGATTTTTTTGATTTTATAGATCAAAATCTTTTCCAGAATCGATTACAAATGATTTACCAAGTAGGAAATCTTTATTTTTAATATATATTTATTTTTGAATATTAATTTAAAATTTTCAGCTTCATTTCCAACACCAATGCCAGAAACAACAAATAATCTGTCATGTACTTATTTGGGTTGTGTTTATGTAGAAAAATCAGGTGGAATGGATGTACTACGACCAGCTATTGAAAAAGTTTCAAAAGCAGTTCCTGAAGATAAATGGCGTCGCATTATTGTTGATATATCTCCATCATCATTTATAATTTCCCTTGATAATGTACATTTAATTTTTAAACTTCCTTTTTTTTTCTATGATATCAAGCATTTAACTCAAATCCAAATAATGCAGCAGTTTTCAGATTCTAGAAGCCTTTGTGAAAATAATTAGTTTTTGAAGAACACAAAATCCTGAATAAAATGAATGGTAACAAAGTTATAAGTTATAACTTTGTTACCATTCGTTTTATTCAGGATTTCGTGCTCTTAAAAACTGTCAAGGTCGATGATTATGGACTTCGTATACGTCTGTATACGATCGTATTTCTTCGTGTACGACAACTTTAATCTGTAAGACATCTTATTTTACTTGACACGAATTGAACCAGGAATATGCCGCTACATTTTCAAAAAAATCAACCTACTTTGGCTAGAATATACTGAACTTATTCAAATTTGTTCTTCGTAATAACTTTTAAAATACATTGTGAATGGACTTTTTTCAGAAATTCCCCTAGGAGTACATCGGTTTATTCAAGTTAATAGTGATACTTTGAAAGTTTTTTTTTCTACGTTATTCATATGAATATAGACTAGAAACATTCCTCTATCAATAGTAAAAAAATCAACTCATTTGGTCCAAACATCATTGAAATATTCAAAGTTTTCTATTTGTAGTGACTTTTCGGACACTCCATATATGACGTGAAAATTCTATAAGAAAGCCCTATGGGAAAAAACGTCTGTTATCACTGTGATCAGCTCATCGAGCTCGATCGACTGGTATATCTTTTCTTCGTGAGAGCTGTAAGCTATTGTGTTTGCTTTTTTTCACAAGGAAGGAAGAACAAGAAGAAGAAGAAGAAGAATGCTCTTGCTTAGCGGCAGACTTAATAGTCCGATATTCTTCTTACATTTAATGTTAGTCATAGCCCTAGATAGAAGGCTAGCCTGAGACAGAGTTAGTTCTTGAGCTTCCTATACACACTAACTAACTACAAGAGCAGGTGTATGTCACAACGTAGCCAACATACTATGGGACAGTTGATTCGAGACAAATAACCGTTAATAACTTGTTCAGAGTCATTTCATGGCTATCGGTATCAAAGTTTGGCTACGGTATCTTGTCAATAGATGTCGAACAACTCAGCTATGACGACTCGATTTTTCAGAAACCCTCCTCTCATAATTCATAGGTATATATTGAGGAAGACGTACCACTACTCGGTTTTATATTTTTGATAAATACTTTAATTAATATTTATTTTCATAGGAAACAAAAGAACAATTATTCGAATATCGTATTCGTTATTTATCATTTCTTGGTGTTGGACAAGATCCAAGGTAATTTTCTTGAATGTTTTTATTTTTTATTTTTATTTTTTTGATTTATATTAAAAAAATTTTTTAGTTTTTGTGGTATAATTATACATTGTGTTGATAATTCATTTAAATGTCATGTATTTCATTGTTTACCATCGTGTATTCAATTTTGTAAAAATATAGAAGCTGCTTGCAAAGTAAAGAATTGTTCTTTTCTGAATTTTTTTCTTTTTATGTATTTTTTTAGTTACGCTATCAAAAATGCCTTGATGCTCATCCACAAGCAGCTAAACAAATTGAAATAACAAAAGTTTGTTATTGATTAAATTGGTATTTGATTTATTTATTTATTTATTTATTTTTGTAGAGTTATGGTGCTCAGTTAAAAAGTTTTGTTGAATCGTTTTGGTATGGGAATAAACAATCGATCTAGTTAGCTTTTTTTATATTTAGTATTTATATTCGATATCAGATCTTTGATTTTTTTTTATTATTATTCTTTTGCTGTGTGATTCTTTTTTTTTTTTTGTTTCTGATTAGGCTTAGTAACCTTCTTTTTTTTTCGAAATTAAAATCATTTATATGAATAATATATCTAGATTTAACTATCAAATATTTCAGAAATAGATTGTATAAATCATGAGTGAATCAATGATGAATGTTGAAAGTACAGGTAGATGAAATGATGATAAAAATGTTTTTTTTTTTTTGAATTGAGATTTAAATTTAATTTAGTTATTGATGGAAGTTTTTGTCAACCACTAGAAAGTACTCGTTTAACACGAACATCTAATGTAAGAAATTTAAAAAATGTTTATGAATTTTTTTTTTTTATTTTGAAATATTGTTTTAGTGGTCACCAAATGAAACAACAATACGTTCTTCAAAAAATATCCCATGTATTACGAAATGTATGAACAATATGTTTTTTTTTTGCTTAGAATGAACATATATATACAATTGATAGTATTAATTCTATTCAAATAGTTACCATTTATAGATAGTATGGATGTAAAATAATACGTGATTTTTTCAAACAAAAAAAAAAGACAAGAGATGATATTTTGATTAATAGAGACTTGATAAGGTAGTTTAATAACACATGCCGTCTGTTACAAGAGTAATAGGCAGATTAGCGAAGAGATGTGTAGAGCCGATTCCAGCTTATGAGGAAAGTTTCTCAACTGATTATTCGTTTTTGAATCGGAATTATGTGAACTCTAATAATTTACAAATACTCAGAACCAAATTCGAACATTTAACTTCTTGAAGCAGAGATATCGGATTTTTAGGGTATTTTTTAAGCCATTTGTGTAATCCTCCTCAGAAACACGAGAAAAATGGATTTTCGAATTTCAACTTGTAACTTTGCAGAGAAATAGACCTTTAAGAGAATAGTTTATTATGAAAGTTTCAGATCTTTTCGTTGTTCCTGTCGTCAGATATGGTTATGGCAAATATTTGTTATTTACATTACTCACATATAACGGCAGATTCGATGTTCTTATTTTAGAATAGAAGTAAATCAAAAGACCTGAAACGTTCACAATAAACTATTATCATTCAGATCTATCTCTGTGCAAAGTTTCAACTTACAATTTGAAAATTAGTTTTTCTTGTATTTCGGAAGGAAATTACGGTATTGACTTAAAAAGTACTCTAAAAATCCGATATTTTTACTCCAATAAGTTAAATGTTTAAATTTAGTTCAGGGTATTTGTAAGTCTTTAACCTCAAAAGCAATTAATAGGTTGAGAGACTTTCCTCATTAGAGAAAACTATTTCCGAATTTATTCGCACTAAATCTAAAGAAAGCTCTAAATATTCGTGTTTTGATTAATTCAGTCGACGAAAGTCACTTTTGTGTGATCCGCCTTAAATTTCGCTTTGATTAATGTAATTTATAACATGATTCACTAAAAGTCATAAAAAATTTAATTACAACTTTTAGTTTCAGTTTGAACAACCTTTTTTCTGATAGTTCCAGTCCTGGTAATTTTTCTTGGTCTCACATATCTTTATTCATATATTTTTCATCGGGTTAATAGATTTGAGTAGGACATCACAAGTCTTGTACAAACATTAAAGAACTGTATGGAAAGCCTGAGGCCGATTAACTAAAATCTATCGAAATTTGCTTTCGTCTTCGACTACTAAAATTACATTCCTATTAAACATTTTCAACAGTGAAAAAACTCAAAATACAACATCTTTTTCTTTTACGAAAGATTCACACGTTTCTTACAAAATGTGAGTTCGAAAAAAAAGAAGCACTAACTGTATTTCATCTAAACGACATACAAAAACTCGTCTTCTCTTATATTTAACTTCCAGATGCAGATCTTTGATTCACGAAAAAAAATATGTGAAATAATTTGCATAAAAATGTGTTTAATTTTAGCTGAACAACAACTATATAAATTATATGCTCAAGCATTAGCTGATTCAGAAGTAACACAAGATTGGAGTAGTTGGGTTGAAATGATGACAATTAATTGTCAAAAATGTTGTTCTGAAGCTGAAATCTCTCATCCAATTGCTTTTCGTACTGGTCGACAACCGTAAAAAAATGACTCACAAGTTACCTTCCTTTATTTGTTTCTCATTTTCATATCCTATAGACAATTATCTCGAAATATTCGCACGTTACAAATCGAACGTGATAGTTGGCTTTTATGGAATCGAGCACGTGATACATTAAATAATACCCGACAAGATCTTCCAGAAGTGGTAAATATAAATTTATTTTCATTTTGTGAAACACGATCTACGAGGAGTGTTCAAGTATATGGATAAACATTGGGATCTAGCACAGATCGTGACAAATCCTAGTTAGAGGCCATGATAAGTACATACATGTCAAATCGAAAAGTTGAATTCAACTATTCAATAATTCTATGAATACTCACTGAGGAAGACGAAGAGTTTTTCTCTGCTTAACTGACTTTTTATATCAGCGTCGCGGCGTGATGACGCGAAGCATCCTCTTCCCCTCCGAAGAGCCGCAACCCATATGCGTCTTTGCGTACACAGTAATTGGAACTAAGTGTATCGTGTTTGCATTAGTATTGAGAAAAAGCTACTGCTTTTGCATTAGCAGTAACGATCAAGATTAATGCGTCAGAATAATTAGGATTAGAGTTAATTGATGCCAAGGTGGTACTTTTACGTTAGCATTACTTTTCATTCTAAGAAATGTACTTAGTCTTATTTTTGAGAGTCTATCTGACCACTGCTATAACTTATCTGAAACTACTTGACCATGCAGCCTATTCCCTTATAGATACTACCTTGCCACGATCACTCAAGCATCTCAGGTGCTCACTGCAGCATCCCAGGTAATGACTGTAGGATTCTAGATGATACTTGTGGCATCTTAAGTAATACCTGTAGCATCCCAAGTAATGACTGTAGCATCCCAGATGATATTTTTAGCATCTCAGGCGATATCGGTAGCGTCATAGCTGATACTTGTAGCATCTCAGAATAATTGAATAGTTAAATATCTGAAAATGTCTTCAATAATTGAATTCAACTTTCAGGTCTGACACCACTGGACAGATGTTAGCTACAGACCATCATAGAGGGTAACAAACATCTTTGTAACACTGTTCTTTTCTCGTGTCACAGATTGTGACAGATATTCATATGGTATGCCTGACTAATGTCGAAAGAAAAAATGTCGAAAAGTTCGAAGACGGCAAGGATAACATCTTAGTAATGTTAATGTTGTCGGGAAAGGAAAAATGAGTGAAACTATGTTTTGAATCAGTTTACACAAACAGTTATTTAACAAAAACTATCTAACAATAAATCATTTTTTATTTCTTAATATTTTTTTTATCTTTAACAACAATAAACGATAAATCTTCTAAATACTCTTCTAAACTTATTTCATCATTTGCATAACGATCAGCAAGAATATGAATACGTCGTTGTACACAATTTGTCTTTTTATAATTAATAGTTGCACCTCATGCTCTTTGGTTATTTGTCAGATCAGTCAATTTTCATTCGACCATTTTTACAACATCAACTCTACTAAGATTTTACCCTTTCGGCCTTCGAACTTTTCGACATTACTCAGTACATTCGTTCATATATAATCACGAACCGTATATCAATAACGTCTCGTTATAATATGTGAACTATTTCCTTATTGCATTTCTGGAGAAGGATGATGAAGAAATGTGTCCCAAAATAGATAGAATAAAACAATCTCTCTATGATTAGCAACTGCAACTATATCATATTTCGCATTTTAATCCTGTAAGGATTGTGCTAATAGATTTTATTAAATATATGTATTTTTATATTATTAAGATCCCAGGTAGTAGTGATCGATTAATTGTCGAACATCATCTTTTAAATAACCCACAATTACGTATGGCTAAAGCCGTACAAGGATGGCTACAAACAATAAAACTTGATGAACGTTATCAAACAGATATTAAAATGGCTATGACAAAATTAGAACCAAAAAGAATTTATTGGTTTGTTATTTATGCAAAAATTTATTTTTATTTATTTAGTTTTTTTTTATTATTTAGGGAAAAGACTTGTCATTTTCTTAAATCATCGTATAATGCAAATCTTCCAAATCCATATATAACTTCTTTGGTAAAGATTAATAATAAATAATATTTATATTAAATTATGGGTTTTTTTTTGTAGGATTTTGATGCTACACATAAACAAAAACGACGTTTATGTGATACAGATGAACAAGAAGAAAATGATTTACTTCAAATAGTTTTTAATTTATTACGTGTTGGAGAATATTCTAAAGTAAATAAAAGAATTTATTTAAAATAGAACAAAACAAAAAAAAAGAAAAATTTCTTTTTATTTAAGGCTAAAAATATATGTAAATCAACTGGTTATCATTGGTTAGCAGCATTATTATCAGCTAATGAATTATATCATGATGAAAATTATTATTGTTCAGAAACAAATGATATTATTTATCCTGTTGAAGGAAATAAAAAACGTATTCAATGGATTGAAAGCATGTATGAATTGTCTATGGATGTAAGTTGAAGAAATTTAAATACAAAAATCTAGAAAATCATTTTAGATAATTCTATTTTTTCTTTACTTTTATTAATTATTTTCTATTTATTAGATGCGTTTAAAACTTTATGAACGTGCAATCTATGGTCTTCTATGTGGTCGAATTGAAGCATTAATACCAGTCTGTAAGACATATGCTGATTATCTTTGGGCATATATTTCATGTTATATTGAACAAGAAATTCATCATATTCTAATGTATATTTAATAAAGAAAAAGAAAATTTGGTTTGTTTTTTTTTTTTTTGAAAATTAAACTTTTATATTTAGATGTGCTCATCAAAATGAATTAACTGATATAGAAAAACATCGTATTCTATCTGATAATGGAATAAGAAATCGTCAATTAAAAATGCCATTAATATTTGATGAAATTCTTGCTGGATGTCCAACACATATACGTGATGAAGCATTATTACCATTTAATTTAATACAAAAATATTTAATACTTGCTGATTATGATCGTTTATTTCATAGTATATTATCATTTTTACATATAAATAATGAATTAAATGGAAGTTTATTACGTTTTTCAACACATATTTGTTTATTTTTATATGAACAAGATCATTCAGAGAAATTTAATCAAAAGAATTTTATTGAAATTTTAACAACATATATTCATCATCTTATTGAATTAGAATTTAAAGATCTTGTTTGTTATTATATATCAAAATTACCATTAGATAATCAATGTAAGATTATAAATTTAGATTTATTAGTTCTTAAAAATATTTTGCTATTTCAGCAACAATAATGGCAAAATTTCTAGATACATTATCAAATCGACAAGATAAAGAATATTATTTAAAACAAGGTTTTACATATAAAATTGATATTGATACATCATTATTAATACTTGCGGCTAATCAAAGACGAGATCAAACATTTGATAAAGATAATAATGAAGAAATTATATCAACAAATTCAAAAAATCTTAATGAAGTATTTTTATTTAAGAAAAAAAAAAGATTTTATTTATTTATTTTTTTACTTTTAAGAATGATTATAAACAATTAGAAGCATTAAAATTATTAACAACATTTTTATCAACACAAACATTAGATGCACTTCGTTTTGCTAATCAAATATGTCGATATTTTCTTAATGATAGTAAATATGAAGGAATTCGAATAGCTTTATCATATTTTCCACATGATATTGATATTCATACTGTATGTTGAGAATTTATTTGTTTTCATTTAAAAAAAAAACAATTTTAATTTGATTTTTCGCAAATTTTTAGATTGAAGCAAATAATCGTCAACAATCAGTAGATGATTTACGAGAATTTAAAGCATTTGGAGCTTATATTGTAAGGGTATTTTATTTCATTGATCTAATTTACTTGGAGAGAAATCGAAGAAAAAATATTCCTTCTGAGGCAACATTTTCAAATGATCCGCTCCGTTTGCCCTCATCTATATACAGAAGATCATTAGTGTTGTATAAGCCTCTAAGGATCCCTACTCATGTTCAGATTTGGTTAAGATAGCGAATCTTTAGTAGATTCCTCATGCAGGAGTTCAGGTTCCGGAAAAACAAATCATATTTAGGGATTCTGGTCTGAAACTTTGTACACATGAAGATCTTGATTAGACTATTTCGTGTAAAAAGTTTCATCAGTTTTGTATATCGCATTGCCAAGATAGAGATTTCTAAATATATCCCTATCTGACATAGCATTCAAAGAAAAGTGTAGATAAATAATCTAACCAAGACTTTCATGTATACAAAGTTTTAGATCAAAATTCGCTATCTTAACCAAATCTAAACATAAGTAGAAATCCTTTAAAGGTTATACTACACTAGTAGTTTTCTATATACGGGCTAAATATGAGAGCAAACCGAGTGGATCTCCTGACAATATTCTCTCATAAGAAATGAAAATTCTAGTATTAGCGTGCTTCACTATATGGAAAACGAAAAAAACTTCATAGCTTTTGAAATAAACAATAGGAGCAAAAATTCTCTTAGACTTTTTCTTACCATGATAGACCCGACATATAAATAAAATATGAAGACAAACGAAGCAGACCACTTGAGAATATTCTCTCGTTAGTAAGCAAAACAGTAGAGCCCATCGCTGCCAATAGGCCAGTTTTTTCTGGCCTAGTCTGAGAGCAAAAACAAAACACGATGAAGAGGTAAAAGAAAGTGTGCAACGAAAATGTAGACAATGAGTAATATCTATAATAACATACAAGAATATTTACATTCGACAGGCAATGTAAGTCCTACAATATTAAATTGACGTTCAGTTCAAGCGTTTGTTACTGAAATCGAATGAATTTGTCAAACAATAAGGCAATGCATCAACATTTGATTTTCAAAGCGTAAGAGCTAAGTCACCAGCTCTGAACCGTATTTCTTATTTGAACGGATTTTTTTTAGTCTGAGTCTGATAGCCGCTCCGAAGATACTGAATACTTTTTATTGTGTCGCTAACACATCCTATCTATTTCTCAAGCAATTGTGACAATGATCTTGTAACAATCAAGTCATAGTTGGCTGTTATTTTTAGAGTATGTCCTATTGGATTGGTCTCAAGTCCGAAAGTAATCAGATTTGTGAGCAATCCAGAAGTTTGTAGAAACTATAGTCCTCTTAACTAAAAGTAGAACATGAATTTTGATTATTTTTTCAAATTTTTTCTAAATGTTATTATCCAC